CAGTGCCCCAAATTTAATGTGATCTGTGAGTAAGGTAAACGGTTGTCCATACAAGTAGGTTGCAGCTTTTTGAGGGCCCACACCACCGCCATGCACTCCTTTTCAATGGCAGTGAATATACCTCGCTCTGCAAAAGTTTACCGCTTAGATAAAAATCAATGCCGTGTACACGTCCACTGATAGGAGACGCGGAAGGTATTAAACTGATCAGAACAATAATAAACACACCACTCCTTTTTTTTGGTGAGGCTTTACAGGACAGAGTGCTTCTCCACGGGACATGTTAACTCACGGGCAGCTGGCTCATCAAGGAACCACAGCAGCTTCCATGTACAGGTAAGACACGTGCAGCCGGTAAGGGTTCAGGCTCTTCTTCCTGGAGGATACGCTGCAAGCCTGTTGAACGAGGTGACCTTGCTCGGGTCCCAGGTGTACGTTCCTAAAATGGCTGCCATATACACGTCCACTGCTAGGAGACGCGGAAGGTATTAAACTGATCAGAACAATACTAAACACACCACAAATAAGGTTTCTCTCCTGTATGGCTCCTCAAATGATGCTTAAGATTAGAAGCGGCTGAAAAGCATTTCTCACACTCCGAACAAAAATATATTTTTTTAACATTCTCTCCACTTTGAACGAAATGACGCTTGGGAAGAGATTAACATAATTAAACACAGGCAGTAAAAATACAGTTTTTAGCCATACCCTGTAACTTTAAAACTACACAACCCATCTTCATAATTACATATTTGGAATCAGCACACTTAAAACATAAACATAACCAAAAATCAGCCAAATCCATCCAGGGGTTAAAAAGTTAGCTGGAGGTCCCTTTATGACCGACCGCAAGCACATTTTCCTGCCCAAAACAGTTCCATAGATTTGGGCTGTGAGGTCGGTCTATTTCAGGCTGAAAAAACGACTAAGTCCCATCGCGAATGGGACTTAGTCTCTGCAGCTGAAATAAGGCTGAAAAAAAAAAAGACTAAGTCCCATCGCTGAATGGGACTTAGTCTCTGCAGCTGAAATAATTTCCCATTTACTGAACCAAGTGGGAAATAGCAAGGCAGGCACAAAGGGTTTGCACCAGGTCTGGGGACACAGGGGACACCGTCTTAAAGGGGCCGTGTCCCCAACAAGTCTGGGGACACGGCCTTAAAGGGGCAGTGTCCCAATCTTCCTGATGTCCCAAAAAAGGTGTTTAAAGGGCCAGCACCAGTCACATAAAGAGTCCATAAGCCCCAATATGCCCACCACAGTCTTAAAGGGCCATACACACCAAATAAAAGTGCATACATTTTCACAATCTCCCAGGGGCCATAGTCATGCGGGAGGAGGCTGGCAAGTAGGCTTCTCCACAACCCAGGGAAGCAGGGCAATTTGCCATTTAAAGGGCCCGTTACAAATAGCAGTTTGTAACAAGGTGTCAATCCATATCTGCCAAGTGACCCGATGTAGGGGGACCAGTCCCTATTCTGCTCTGTGTCAGTGTGTACCAGGGAACCTTAGGACAGGTGTCAATCCATATCTGCCAAGTGACCCGATGTAGGGGAACAGTCCCTATTCTGCTCTGTGTCAGTGTGTATCAGGGATCCTTAGGACAGGTGTCAATCCATATCTGCCAAGTGACCCTATGTAGGGGGACCAGTCTCTATTCTGCTCTGTGTCCGTGTGCATCAGGGGCTCTGAGGACAGGTGTCAATCCATATGTCAAGGTGTCAATATGTCATATGTCAGTTGTCAATCCATATTCATTGTGATTTAGGAATGTTAGGTGATTTCTGCCCTTTATGGATTAAAACCAGACTCTGTATCAACTGTGTAATTTTCCATGGGAGTTTTGCCATGGATCCCCCTCCGGCATGCCACAGTCCAGGTGTTAGTCCCCTTGAAACAACTTTTCCATCCCTATTGTGGCCAGAAAGAGTCCCTGTGTGTTTTAAAATTCGCCTCCCCATTGAAGTCAATGGCGTTTCGGGCGGTTCGCCGGTTCGCGAACATTTGCGGAAGTTCGCGTTCGCGAACCGAAAATTTCGGGTTCGCGACATCACTACCTATGATAAGTCTCATGTTTCAAGTAGGCAGTTGGCAAAGAATACAGGGTGCCAGATTCCTGGTACAACTGAGGCTCATCCAGAACAATGGCAATAGTATTGTTATGTGCATCTTGCTAGTGTAATAATTGCCAATGTAATAAGTGCCAATGTGAGAGAGGCTCACCCTCTAAGATACAAAAGGGGGTTTCCCTTGATCACTCAAGACAGGGGGAGACATGAAAGTATCATAGTAATGTGGGCGAACTGCAATAACTCCTGTCCAGGGGAGGCAGAACAATTCTTTAAAGGGGCTCATCCTCGCAATCATTGCCAATGATGGCAGGTATCGATAATAGGGGTTCACCCCAGTCATACACAGAGGTGTACCCATGGTGAGCAATAAACAGTCTGTCTACTCCAGGCTTAATTCAGACATGTATTATAATTGTAGATTATGCTAACTTTAGTGTACCTATAATCTTAATTTTATTAATGACAGGAGGCGAATATTTGCTTAAGTTTCTCTTTACTACCACAGCAGCAAAAAAAAAAAACTCAGTGAGTAACAACCAATCAGAAAACAGTAAGGAGACCATATAACTCCCTTCTTAACATTCCATTTCCTCTTTCAAGCTGCGATAACAACACAGACAGAAAAAACATAACAATAACAGTCCATCTCCAACAGAAATAACGACTCTCTTAGGATTCTTCAACCAAAATGAAGACCTGAACGTGATGCCATCCTGGGAACTTTACAATGAAATGAGATAAACAAAATCAAAAATTGTGATTAGCCAAAAACATGTAGCCACCCAGCGCAATTTTATAAAGAACATCATCAAGTCTACCGATCCACGCTATAGTTAATAATGAAAAAATTCATATGGTAAATAATCACAAGGAATACTGACCAGAGATATAACTCAAGGGTCGGAAACAAAAAGGGTGGGAAATATTCGCCTCCTGTCATTAATACATTTAATATTATAGGTACACTAAAGCTAGCATAATCTAAAATTTTATAACATGACAGGAGGCTTCATATTTGCTGTTTCAACGCTCAGCCAGTAGGGCAAACAATGCATGTTCCGTCGGTCTGAAGTAAAACTGTTGGAAGGTGTCCTCACGAGACCAGTCTGCTGAACGTAGAATGTCGGACAGGGAAGCACCCACTACTAGGGCCCCTGACGCCGCCGCGCCCCTAACCGAATGAGCACCAAATGAGGACTCCACGCCGGCCAACAACAATAGCCATCTGATCCAGCGAGCCAAAAGTAGTGGTCGAACCCGGTTTATGTGGTCGTACGTAAGATATCAACAGTTGTCCCGATTGGGAACTTCGAAGCGGGGTAGTAACTGTCACATAGCGAGACAAGGTAGAAACCACACAGAGCTTCGGAGCCTCTCAAAAATATGGGTAGAAAATGGCAGTGGAGTCTAACTTGATACGTCTCGACAGGGAAAAGGTCACCCCATCCGCAGAAAAGGTGAATGCGTTAACATCAAAAGCCCGAGCGTCGGAGACGCGACGAAATGATACCAGGCACAACAGAAGTGTAAATTTAGCTGACAATTGTCGTAGAGAAAGGTCCTGATTCTCCGGCCATGACTGAATGAAATCCAAAACCCGGTATACGTCCCAGAGCGATGTATATTTAGGAGCCGGAGGACGTGACCGTCTGATCCCTCTCAATAATCTACAAACCAAAGAGTCTTGTCCAATAGGCGTCCCCTGCAGAGGGACATGCGCCGCTAAAATGGCCGACCTGGCAACGTTAACTGAATGATACGACTTCCATTTATCGAAGAGGTGAGAAAGGAAATTCAGTATGCTGGATATAGGGGCTGTAAAGGGATCGATATTCCGTTCCATGCACCAACGACACCAAATGTTCCAGGTGGACAGATAACATCTCCTCGTTACTGGGGCCCATGAGGTGATTTCTAGCTGATCCCGATAGCTCATCGACATTCCAGGTACCCCAGAAAGAGTCCAAGCCACCAAGTGGAGGTGGCCTTCCAGTACGAGGGAATGATTGTTGCCTCGTGGATCCGACAGGAGTATTTGTGGAGACGGAAGAAGAAGCGGGTCCCAACATGATAGTTCCAGCAATTCTGGGAACCAGGCTTGGCCCTGCCAAAGAGGCATCAACAACACCAACGATACCTGTTGTCACCATAACTGGAGTAGGACCCTGGAGATCATAGTGAATGGTGGAAATGCATAGGCTCGGTGCGACGGCCAGTCCTGAAGGAAAGCATCAACTGCTGCACACGTCGGATCCGGAAGCCAGCTGAAGTAATTTGGGATCTGGAAGTTTTGGAAGTGAACAGATCCACTGTGAATGGGCCCCTTTGCCGCGCCACTTCGAGGAAAACTGGTCGATGCAGCCACCAATCGCTGGCATCCCTCCAGTGTCTGGAGAACCAGTCTGCTGTCAGGTTCGACACTCCTGGGAGATACTCTGCCGGGAGAGTGATATTGCGCTGAAGGCAAAAGTTGTAAATCTTTGTGACTTCCATCAGTGTCCGTGAGCGGGCCCCCCCCAGGTGGTTGATGAACTGCACCACCGATATATTGTCCATTCTCAGCAGAATGCAGCAATCTGATAGATGACCCACAAGGCTGCGTATAGTGAATGAGCCCGCAATCATTTCCAGGCAGTTCATGTCATATCCTGCTACAAAGTCCGGGGTCGGTCCAAAGATCACCTTTCCATTCCAAGCTGACATGGGTAACAGCCACCAGCGAAGTTCGGTCTTGACTTCCTGTGTGACGGGAATCAGCTGGTCGTACAAGGGTTTCTTGCATAGGAAGTGCGCTTTCAGGCGTTGCATAACCCTGTAGTGAAGGGGGCCCGGGTAGATGGCTTGGATCGATGCGGACAAGAGGCCCACCACTCGTGCCAAGACCCGGAGTGGGATCATTTCCTGGTGCAGTATCCGTCGAATCTCTTTCGGAATGGCCGTGATTTTGGTCTGAGGGAGGTGTAGGATGCACTGAGTGGCATCTATTTAGAATCCCAAAAACTGAACTACTTGTGTCGGCGTGAGAGCCGACTTCTTTTGGTTGACCACAAACCCCAGGTATTCAAACAAGGAGACCGTGTAGAGTGTCTATGATTTCAGTCTGGAGGCCTCCTCGCAGAAAAGGAGTAAATTGTCTAGATATATCAGGCATTGAATGCCCCTGGAGCGCAGGCATGCCGTTACCAGCTTTAACAGTTTGGTGAACACCATGGTGCCGAGCTGAGGCCGAATGGGAGGCAGGTGAATTGGCATGGCCTCCCTTTCCAAACAAAGCGTAGAAATCACCGGCAACCGTATTCCACCGGAACGGATAGATATGCGTCCTTTAGGTCCAGGCGAGTGAACCAATCTCCTGGGCACAGTAAGCCTCTCAGAAGATGGATGCCCTCCATCTTGAAGTGTTGATAGGAAATGAAGGCGTTCAGGTTTCTCAGGTTTATAACTGGACGGAAATCTCCCGTTTTCTTCCTGACTAGAAAAATGGAGCTGAAGAAACCTCCTTCGTCGGACCCCAGACCGCGGTCTGTAGTAATTGGGGACTCCCTGCAGGACAGCACACCACGTGTGAGAAGTCACTATTCTAATTAAAGGGGGGGGAGGGAGTGTGCATGTAACGCTCCCTTCTCCACCCGGCAAAACACACGCAGTCCACAGATCGAGCTGGCCGCGACTGGCGGCCACGTGGGGCAGCTCCGGTCGGCGGGTAGTGCGCTCGATCGCGAGCACCACACGACCGGAGTAGTAAGCACACACGGGACCGCTGGAGACGTACTCCGCGGTCTCGGGGCTCGGCGGGAATCGGAGGAGGCAGCAACAGGCCATTCTCCAGAAACCCCCGAACGGCACAATACCGTGTGAAGGAAAATGGGTGAGAAGGAGAGGGGACAGTTAAGGGGAAAACGAGCCCCAGAGGAGAGAGCAGAAAAAGGGAAACAAACTCCCCACTATCCCAGAGGGAAAGAGAAGGCAGATAGCCTACAGCATAAAACCAAAACAGTCTCCAAAGAATAATAAAAGATAATAAAATGATATCAACAATTATACAGTAAAATATTTAAAATACCAAAGCCACTAATACTAGCAGGAGGCAGTGGTACTCTGACCTGTACTGATGTGGAGCAGCAAAGAAAGAGGAAATGGAATGTTAAAAAGGGAGTTATATGGTCTCCTTACTGTTTTCTGATTGGTTGTTACTCACTTTTTTGGGTTTTTTTTTTTTTTTTTTGCTGCTGTGGAGTTCTAGTAAAGTGCTGTTTCTAAGTGTGTAGTTGGAGATATTCTGGAGAGTTTTACAGAAGCTTCAACTGTCTAAGAGTTGTGCTAAGAGCTTTCTTTTCTACTGTTACAGGTAAGATTCATCTGTAGGAAAAGGTTACTGATTGCACAAGGTTGGAATTCCTGTTGGTAATTATAAGGCATTTGATTTGATTAAGCTAGTTACTTGCTATTGATTGCTGGTTAATTAGCTATTGTTTGCAAATAAGCAGAGGCCTACCCAGGTGTTAAACATTCCTAGTGGGTGGTGATTTTAGGAGTTATATAAGGCTTGGTGTCATTAGCTTGTCTAATATAGCTTGGTGCTACTTCTAAGTGCTGTTTCTAAGTGTGTAGTTGGAGATATTCTGGAGAGTTTTACAGAAGCTTCAACTGTCTAAGAGTTGTGCTAAGAGCTTTCCTTTCTACTGTTACAGGTAAGATTCATCTGTAGGAAAAGGTTACTGATTGCACAAGGTTGGAATTCCTGTTGGTAATTATAAGGCATTTGATTTGATTAAGCTAGTTACTTGCTATTGATTGCTGGTTAATTAGCTATTGTTTGCAAATAAGCAGAGGCCTACCCAGGTGTTAAACATTCCTAGTGGGTGGTGATTTTAGGAGTTATATAAGGCTTGGCGTCATTAGCTTGTCTAATATAGCTTGGTGCTACTTCTAAGTGCTGTTTCTAAGTGTGTAGTTGGAGATATTCTGGAGGTAATCTGAGGTATTCAGGAGGATAAATATAAAGTTAAGATTTGTTAGTTTTAAATTATTCTCCTAATTGGAATGGCAGACTTAGTTCAGTGTAATAATTGCTATGCATTTGTTTCACGTTCCACTTTTTGGAGGTTTGGTTGTTGTCTAATCTGTAGAGAGTTTTCTATCTTGCGGCAGGAGATTGTATTTTTAAAGTCTGAGATTTGTAAATTATCTGGTGAACAAACTCAGACTGGAACTGCTGCAAAGCCACTGCCGCAGAGACATACTGGGAATGGCAGATGGATTGCTGTAGGATCAAATTGAAGAGTTAGATAATCTACTAGTTGAGGAAATAGCTAAAATGACAATGAAGGGAGAAGTTATCATCATGGGTGACTTTAATCTCCCTGATGTAAATTGGAAAACAAAATTAGCTACTTGTGCCAGGAGCACACATATTCTAAACTCCCTACTGGGATTGTCTCTAAAACAAGTTGTTGAGGAGCCAACTCGTAAAGAGGCCATACTAGATTTAGTGTTAACAAATGGAGATTTGGTATCAGATATTACTGTAGGTGAAAGTTTAGGATCCAGTGATCATCAGTCAGTGTGGTTTAGTATAAGAACAGTGACTGAGTCACACCACACAAAAACAAAAGTTTTAGACTTTAGAAAAGCAGACTTTTCTAAAATTAGAATATGGGTAGAGGAGTCATTATCAGACTGGAGCAATTTAAATGGAGTCCAAGAGAAATGGGATTATTTAAAATTTGCACTATTGAAGGCAACAGAAAATTGCATTAGGCTTGTCAGTAAAAGCAAAAAAATCAAAAAAACACTGTGGTACTCTGCAGATGTGGCCAAAATAGTTAAAAACAAAAAGTTAGCATTTAGGAATTATAAAAAAACCCAGAGTGAGGAAGACAAAATGATCTATAAGATTAGGCAGAAAGAGGCTAAGCAAGTTATAAGAGCTTCAAAATCACACACAGAAGAGAAAATAGCACAGTCAGTAAAAAAGGGGATAAAACATTTTTTAGATACATAAATGAGAAAAGAAAAGTAAAACAAGGATTAGTTAGATTAAAAACAAAAGAAGGAAGGTATGTAGAAGAGGATAAAGGTCTACCTGACTGCCTCAATGAATATTTTTGTTCTGTATTTACAGATGAAAATGAAGGAAAGGGACCTCAGTTGAGAAAAAAGGATAAATGAGTCATTTATTACACGTGAGTTTACAGAGGAAGAGGTTCTATTTCAACTGTCAAAAGTAAAGACAAATAAGTCAATGGGACCTGATGAATACACCCAAAGCTATTAAAAGAGCTTAGTGGTGTACTAGCAAAACCATTAACAGATTTATTTAACCAATCATTGTTAACAGGAGTAGTCCCAGAAGATTGGAAGTTAGCTAATGTTGTGCCCATTTACAAGAAAGGTAATAAGGAGGAGTCGGGCAACTATAGGCCAGTAAGCCTTACTTCAGTAGTGGGGAAAGTGATGGAAACCATGTTAAAGGATAGGATTGATGAACATCTAAAAACACATGGATTTCAAGACCAGAGACAACATGGGTTTACTTCAGGGAGATCATGCCAAACTAATCTTATTGATTTTTTGATTGGGTAACTAAAATAATAGATCAGGGTGGTGCAGTAGACATTGCTTACCTAGATTTCAGTAAGGCTTTTGACACTGTTGCACATAGAAGGCTTATCAATAAACTGCAATCTTTAAGTTTGGATTCCAATATTGTTGAATGGGTAAGGCAGTAGCTGAGTGACAGCCAACAGAGGGTTGTAGTTAATGGAATATATTCGAAGCTTGGACTTGTCACCAGTGGGGTACCTCAGGGATCTGTACTTGGACCCATTCTCTCTAATATTTTTATTAGTGATATTGCAGAAGGTCTTGATGGTAAGGTATGTCTTTTTGCTGATGATACTAAGATATGTAACAGGGTTGATGTTCCAGGGATAAGCCAAATGGCAAATGATTTAGGTAAACTAGAAAAAATGGTCAGAGTTGTGGCAACTGACATTTAATGTGGATAAGTGCAAGATAATGCATCTTGGACGTAAAAACCCAAGGGCAGAGTACAGAATATTTGATAGAGTCCTAACCTCAACATATGAGGAAAGGGATTTAGGGGTGATTATTTCTGCTGACTTAAAGGTAGGCAGACAATGTAATAGAGCAGCAGGAAATACTAGCAGAATGCTTGGTTGTATAGGGAGAGGTATTAGCAGTAGAAAGAGGGAAGTGCTCATGCCATTGTACAGAACACTGGTGAGACCTCACTTGGAGTATTGTACACAGTACTGGAGACCGTATCTTCAGAAGGATATTGATACCTTTAGAGAGGGTTCAGAGAAGGGCTACTAAACTGGTTCATGGATTGCGGGATAAAACTTACCAGGAAAGGTTAAAGGATCTTAACATGTATAGCTTTGAGGAAAGACGAGACAGGGGGGATATGATAGAAACATTTAAATATATAAAGGGAATCAACACAGTAAAGGAGGAGACTATATTTAAAAGAAGAAAAACTACCACAACAAGAGGACATAGTCTAAATTAGAGGGGCAAAGGTTTAAAAATAATATCAGGAAGTATTACTTTACTGAGAGGGTAGTGGATGCATGGAATAGCCTTCCAGCTGAAGTGGTAGAGGTTAACACAGTAAAGGAGTTTAAGCATGCGTGGGATAGGCATAAGTCTATCCTAACTATAAGATAGGGCTAGGGACTAATGAAAGTATTTAGAAAATTGGGCAGACTAGGTGGGCCGAATGGTTCTTATCTGCCGTCACATTCTATGTTTCTATCTATGTTTCTATAAAGATAGACTTAAGCAAATATGAAGCCCCCTGTCATGTTATAAAATTATATAGGCAACATATTCATTGTTGTAATATTCTTCTCTGTGGCAGAACATAGCAAGTAAAATAGTGAGCATGAGGTATCTGTACAAATGTAGAAGCTGGGCAAAAAAATACCACTCCAGTAGTTAAACAAGATAAACCTAGAGGGGATTAGATCCCCATACCCTGATATTATGAGAATAGCACAATACTGCTTGAGCCATAACAATACTACAGCTTCACCTATGCCCAGATTGCTTGAATACCGATCTGGAAGGAACATCACCCACAGATCCCTTCAGAAAGCCCCAAAAGAGTTACAAAAATGGTCAAAAAGGAGACAGGTGTGACTTGTGAGAGGTGAGAGAGAGCCAGGACAGTCCCAGGCTCCAGCCTGAGAAGGGGAAAGTACTAGGCCACAGTGATTAGAGAAGAAATAACTTTTGAAAAGCAATATATAGGAAAAGCAGACAGTACTAGGGGTTAAATAAACAGAAATATAAAGCAGATAGGGCAATTAAACTGTGACAATACAATATAAAAATAACTATCACAAGGACAAAATACTCAGACCTGTGCAACAGGGGCCGCAAAGAAAGAGGAGGGGCTTAGACTGGCAGGGCCTTTTGTGGAATGTGTAGTTGTTTTGTGATTGGCTGTTCTGTTTATGAACTGTGATAAACTGGGGGCTCACCCCATGTGATGCGCCTTGTGTAACTCTGTTACCCACTATGGTAACAGTACCATTTGGCACGATATGTGGAATGTGTAGTTTTTTGGGGTTTTTGTGGAACTTGCCAGTCAAAACACTGCTACACATTCTACATATTGTGCCAAATGTTAGCTACAGTATTTCAGACTATTCAGTAAAAAGTGTTGTGCAAAATAGGAAGCCTCCTGTCATGTGGTAAAATTGTAAGGTTCAAGAGTATACAAAAAATAATGCTTTTTCTAAATTAACTTTAGGAAATGTTACACATCTGAAAATGTATTGCATTGATAATCTATCCTAATTGCTTGTTTTCATGGAAGAGAAAATATATAATTCAAGGACACATTAACACAGCCAAAATGAACTTTTCTGAATATTTTATTTTATTAACAGTGCCTGTAACATTAGTTCAATGTATTAATATGTTTTGCCTCCTTGCTAAAGGTGAACAGGAAAATGTTAATGCAACACAAAAAAATATAATTGAACAATATATTTTCTGCAGAACTTTCAAGACATCAGATACATAGTATATACTTTGTGCCACCCACTCAGCAATGTGGAAGAAATTACTATGGTATTAAAGCAGAAAAGACTCAAGCTTTTAATTTTTTTCTGCTGTTATTGCAAATAATTACATGATTTTGCTATTACATAACGAAAAGTCATTGTTACAGACTGCCATTTGTAACTGTTATTTTATTTGACAAATTGCCCTGCTTCCCTGTGTTATGGAGAAGCCTAATTGCCAGCCTTCTGCCCCATGACTATGGACCTAGTGGGTATGGCGATTTGACTGTATTTGTGGGATCTGAGCGCTGTTTGGATATATTGAGCACTCAGATCCAAGCCATCTGGGGATAGGTTGAATCTGGGGGTTCTGTTCAGTATAATAGGAGTTAGGTATTTATGTGTCTTTTTGTGTCTTTTGCTAACATGTGGTTAATGGAGTCTGCCTCAATCCCTGGATATAAATGGATTATTTTCTCCATTGTCTCCTGGATAGAGGGCTCTGTAAAACCGGTTTGGGCCAGATAACCATGCTGCCAGCCAGGCCCCAAAATATACTTTTGCTAACTTTTGAACCCCTTGTCTGATTTGTGCCATTTTTTAATATGTTGCTCCCCTGAATGGATTGATTCTAAATATGTTATTTGTATGAAGATTGGATGTATGGTTTTAAAGTTACAGGGTATGGGTAAAAACTGTATTTTTACTGCCTGTGTTTAATTATGTTAACCCATTGTGTACCATAATTAGATCACAGGCAGATCTTCTTGACCCTCAATACGTAGCCTTGTCTCGTTATTGGAGGGAACTGCTATATCACACTGGGGATTGCTATGCTCTGCATACTCCCCTGAGCTTTTAATCACTTAGCTCTTTAAGAGCTGTTCCTGTTACGCTCTCCTGGAGGAGAGGTCTTCCCCACACGGTCCTGGAGGACAGAAGCTGATCCAGGGTGGAAGGAAGACGGCGAGACTCCAGTTAAGCTACGGCGGTTGTGGAGTCTGCGGTGGTTGTGGTGTCTGCTGCAGTGTTTGGAGTCCTCAGGAAGCGCTGGGAGCATCCATCAACGGAGGGTACTCGGTCGGAGTACAGGGAGCTCCGTTACAGTCATGATTTTATTAAAGACACGGAGGCAAGTATTGCATATCCCTTTCTTTACTGTCCACCAATAGCAGCAAAGAATACATACAGAATGAAAAAATAATGAACATGCAGTAACATAGGCCCCTCCCTGCTCAGGTCCCAGTATAATAGGCAGCACTTCCCTTCCATTTCCGTCTTTCTGAAGATGCGACCAAGGTAAAATGTCCAAAAACAAGAGTAGTGAGAGAAAAAGTCCCAAGGTAACACTTATAACTGAAGAGGGTAGAACATCAACAACTGGGAAGCTTGACCACAGGAGTCATAGGACCACCGGATAACAGCGGGGGGAGTCCTCCTAAGCCGGATGATTGCTTGCCTTCTCGTCGAATTAGGCTGTGAAAACATAAAGGAACAGGAGCCGACAGGTTAAAGTCGATACTTGCAACTAGTTTCAAGGTTAAACGGGTGAGAAGTAACTCACATATGCACAGTCCCCGAAAAGAGTGAGATACCATTATGTGACATAAACATCATTCTCCCAGTATGGCCCCACTTACCATACTAAACCATTCGATGTGGTGTATTGTAGCATGAATAATCCTGGGAGGGAAAATGTATTACAACTGAGTAAAAATGAGAAGGGTGAGACAATACTCGCCTTCCGTGTCTTTAATAAAATCATGACTTTTCGTCATGTAATAGCAAAATCATGTAATTTTATAACAAGATACGGAGGCTCATATTGCAAGTTTAAAGCTGATCCATTACCGCAGCAAAAGTATGTGGGGCCAGTCGGAAGTAAAACTCTCGGAATGTGGACTCCCTTGACCAGTCAGCCGTCCTAATAATGTCCGCCAGGCGTGTGCCTGCAGACATCATGGAAGAGGCTGATGCCCCCCGGACCGAATGGGCGCCAAAGATCGTATCAATACCTGCCTGAGACAACAGCCATTTCACCCATCGTGACAAGGTTGTGCTCGAAACCGGGTGGAAAGGGGGACGGAAAGATAAAAATAACTGTGGAGAGATGGCAGAGTGATGAGAGTTGGTGCGAGTTTCGTATTCGCGTAGACAGGCCACTGGACATAGTGATGGAGAGGAAGGGAAACTAGGGTAGGATACCGATTTGATAGAAGTCTTAGTCCGCCGGCTGATGTTGAATGTTACCCCGTCCGGGGTATATGACCTGGCATCGAAATCCAGTGCCCTGACATCCGAAACCCTCTTGCATGAGACGAGGCAGAGCAGGCAAACCAATTTGGCAGATAGCTGTTTGAGGGAGAGCCCTGAGTTAGAGGGCCAGGATGAGAGGAAAGCCAACACAATGGAGACGTCCCAGGTCGTGGAGTAGCGAGGCTGGGTGGTCGTGAGAATCGAGAACCCTTGAGGAGTTGGCACACTAAGGGGTGTTGTCCCGCGGGGCATCCATCAAAGCCTTGGAGAATCGCTGAGATGGCAGACCTGTAAAGGTTGATAGTCCTGTAAGCCTTTCCAGCCTCGAAGAGGGACGTCAGAAACTGTAGGACCACTGTTACAGAGGCTGAAATGGGATCCGTGTTCCTAGCCATGCACCAGCCAGCCCAAGCTGACAGGTTGAGAATCCACCATCGTAATTAGTCCTTCGTCTCGCTGTCCAGTGATACCAGGTCCGCGTAGGATGCACCGGCTCTCAGGTGAGCGATCTTCAGGCGTTGTAGCGCTCTGTAGTGGAGCAGGCCTGGGAACACAGCCTGTATCGAGGAGGCCAGAAGGCCAATGAGTCGTGCAAGCTGGCGCAAGGTGAGCTGGGACCGGATGAGGGCCCTGCGTAACTCCTTGCAGATGGAGCAAATCTTGGATATCGGGAGGCTCAGCGTCGCTTTCCCCGAATCCACAAGGAATCCTAGGAATTCCATGTGAGTGGCGGGGGTGAGACACGACTTCTCCCAGTTGATAATGAAACCTAGGCGGGAAAGGAGGCTTATGGCCAGCCGTAGATGTGTAAGGAGGATAGAACGCTCCTGAGCCATGAGGAGAATATCATCTAGGTAAACGATTAGTCGAACTCCTCGACTGCGTAACCGGGCCATCACAGGCCGTAGTAGCTTTGTGAAGTACCACGGCGCTGAGGAGAGGCCAAATGGTAGGCAGGTAAACCGCCAAGTCTCGTGCCACCAGTGAAAGTGTAGGAGGTCAGGTACGCGTCCTTGAGGTCTAGCTTCGCTAGCCAATCTCCGTGGAGGAGGAGATCTCTTAGTAGGTGAATACATTCCATCTTGAAATGGCAGTACCTGACTATGGCATTGAGGGGGCGCAAATTTATGATGGGTGTTACCCCGTCCGGGGTATATGACCTGGCATCGAAATCCAGTGCCCTGACATCCGAAACCCTCTTGCAAATTTATAACGGGTCTCAATTGACCGCCTTTCTTTTCCACCAGGAAGATGTTGCTTATGACACCTGTAGGGTTGAGAGGTGTTAGTTCTATAGCCCCTTTGATAAGGAGGGAGGAGAGTTCCTCGTCGATCCATCTGCGATCCTGGAGGGAAAAGCAGATCGGTCGAGGAGGGGGAATGTGTATCAGATGGTTTATGAGTTCTGTATGGAAAACTCGAATAGTGGTCAGCACCCAGGGTTCCGATGTTATTTGTGATCAGGCTGGGAAAAAATGTTGGAGTCTGCCCCCTATACAAACCAGAGAAGAAGTGTGAGGTATGAGGTAACTCACCGTATGGTCGTCTTGAACTTGGGTTGCCCCTTAAGCCTCTGGATCGCCATGGATGTCCACGAGATGGAAAGAATGTGGGGCGGGAGTTAGAATCCTGGTACTGCGTACGATGTTGGAAGGAGCCTCTTCCCTTGCCACGGGATTGGGGGTAACTGAGGCCAGACAGCTCCTGAATCTGCTGGCCCTGGTAGAGACCCACCCCTGGAACACCCGCCTCATGGAGGCTTTGGCCTTGTCTAGGGCTGTGAACGCTCCAACAAAGCGCCCTAAATCTTTTATAAAGGAGTCTCCAAAGAGTAAACCTTGGGCGTCCTTACCCGCCTCCGTAAGGGCGAGGTTGGCCAGTTTAGGCTCAATCTTAAATAATATGGCCTTACGCCTTTCTATAGATAGGGAGGTATTAACACTCCCAGCAATACATATTGCTCTCTGGACCCAACCACATAGGTCTTCGGGGTCAACCATGCGGTTCTCCGCTCTGGTGTCTTCCGCCAAGTCAAATAATTTGGCCAAGGGGCCGAATATGTCCAGATGTTTGCCCTGGCAGGACTTTAATGCAGACTCCAGTCCTTTACGGGGGTTCCAGCCCAATTTAGTGAGCAACTGGGTCATCTTGGGGTCTACCTCCGGAGTGTCGCAGACTTTATTAGGCACCACAGGCCTAGGACACTCTGCCCTCAATTTGTTGCGGGCCGCTTTACTCAAAGGTCATCGGACCCAATTCTCTAAATATGTGGCAACGTGGTCAGCCGGGAGCCACTCTGCCGATCTCGGATAGTGTAGGTCATCCGGGTCGAAGAGTGGGACACCCGACAGATACACAAGGGTGGACCCCGCGGCTGCGGGGTTCCTGATCCCTATCTCGCCTCCGGGCATCTCTGCCTGAGCAGAGGAAAGGAGGTCAAAGCCAGCATCAGCGGCATCCGCATCAGAGTCACTGTCCAACTCGCTCTCATATAACCCGATTTCTGAGTCGGAGTCGCTCTCTAGCTGTGCTCTGGCACATTTCCATAGCCGCGCCCGTTCTGCCTGGCGCGGAAAGGCTCTTTTGCGTGGATGGGACACGCTTTCTGGGGCAACCGAAGGTACGCCAGTCATGGTGTTTCTGGAGGCAGAGGGGTGTTTGGACTTGTGGGTAGCCTTTTTAAATATCTCTCCTTGAGGGTTCACAGTGAGACGCGGTAAAGGCGTCGAGGAGCCCAACAATTGCTAGTCCGAAGGACGTAGCAAGAGGGCCTGTGAAATGGTGTGGGAGAGGGTGGAGGACATAGACCCCATGGCCGCCATAATGGCGTCTGTCACCCAGCGCTGCAGCGCTAGGAACTGTGCCCCATCAGGGTGGGTAGTTCCATCTGTCATAATGGGCGAATTGCCTGAGGTGACAGGGGTCTCACTCCTAATGAGTGACTCCCTAGAGGGAGTGTACCCAGAGGATAGTCTGGGTTTAGGCATGCTAAACTAGCAGAGAGAATAAGCTAACAATAAGAATAGTATGGGTTAGTCACCCAAACAGCTAAGACAAAAAACTAAAACGCTCTCACCAGGGCCCAGACCAGTGACACACTAAGATGCAGGGTAGGAGAGAAGACAGGAAGTCTGAAAATGGCCGCCGGTAATCTCGCGGGATTCACGGCATCCGTGGGATAAGCGGGAAAAATACAAAACGTTCGCTAGAAAAAGGTGAATTTGGGAACCAGATAGGTAAGTATAGGAGAATATAGAGTAGGCGAACGGGCCGTTCACATGAAAAATTTTGAATGAGGCAAACATGCGAACGCGCTGTCTGACGAATGGGGAATGGTATGTGTTAAGAAATCCCTCGTGTCTTTAAACGAAACCGCCATTTAGTCAACCTTCCCCTTCTGCAATACCAATAATCTCCGTTCGCATGAACTGCAGTGCACGAACCAAGCGCAGGGGAAGCGGCAATCTCCCGACCGGGATCCGTGGACGGCTCCAACCTCCCGAACGGAACTCCACGAACTGCTGCTAGCCGCCGAACAATAACATCCACCAAGCGGCTTTCGGTTCCAACCAGCAGTCTCTAAACGCAAATAATAAATCCCCCCAATAACGAGACAGAAGCTCCACATTGAGGGTCAAACAGGATCTGGCTTTACTGTGGGCTACCTGCCCGTATTTATGCAGGTCTCCCACTTGGTGGACACTCCCCTAGGGGACCAAATGGGAGACTGTAATGACAGACAGACATGGTGACATTCCAGACATACAGTCACAGCTTTTACCCACAATACACTATGGTTTCCTCCCCTCTGCCCTGGAGATAATTAAGAAGTAGCTCAATTATCTCCAGTACAAAGCCAGTCGACATTTTAAATATAAAACCAGAAAATGCATAAAAATCCACAACTTTACAAAAACCGAACATTTCCCATTCGTATCACATATCCCCAGATAGCCTGGATCTGAGTGCATATTATTAGCGAATAGCGCTCAGATCCCACACACATAGTTCAATCGCCATGGAGTCAAAGTTCTTACAGTCCTTCGGTATACGAATGACTCCTTGGGAAGGCTATCTGGGTTAAGTCCTTTCATATGCTGCAAAACTCCCGAACGGCCGGTATTCGTATGCTTTCGTGGAGGCAGCCAGGCTTTCCGTTGTTTCAACGGTGTTCGGCAGAAAAATTGTCAGTTTTTAGTTCCATGAAAATAGAGCCGAACACCGCTGGGCTTTCGTGCGTTTTAAAATGGCCGCTGCCTCATGGTCGACATACGAACGACGA